ATTTTCGAAAAATAAAAGTACAATAACCTAATACAATAGTATATAAGTTAATACAATAAATATTCAATGAAGAGTATATTAGGAAAAATTAATTAAACACCACTCATTAGAATTTGCTACTTCTTAATTTTCATGATTAAATTAATTTTAAAATTAATTAAATACTATTCTAAAAAATTGAATACAATAAATATTAAAATTAATGAATACTACGTATTAGTTATATAAGAACTTGCTACTCATTTAGTTAAATTAGTTATAGCATATGAGAGGAAAATTATCCTACCCAATTCTTAATCGGCTTATTTGATACAAAAAAACTACACATGTGAGAAAATTCTCTCACTCAATTGCTAGTTAGCTGGAACAACTTATACCTAAAAACACTACGTATGAGAGAAAACTACTGCTTAGAGCTGACATATTTCATACTTAAAAGAATTACATATATGAGAATTCACCGCTCAATTGTTGGCAAGTTTATCTTCTAATATAATAATAATACATAAAAGCACTACATATGAGAGATAAAATTATCCCGCTCAATTATTAGTAAGTTTATCTTGTTATTATATCTAAAAACACTCCATATGAGAGGCAAAATTCCCCCGTTCAATTGTTAGTCAGCTCATGTTATACCTAAAATCACTACACATGGGCGAGAAAATTTTTTCACTCAATTGTTAGCTAGACTATCTGATACTTAAAAAGAACTATATATGAGAGAGAAAGTTTGTCCGCTCAATTATTAGCAAACTTGATTTTTTATACCTAAAACTCTTACATATGAGAGAGAAAGTTCTCCCGCGCAATTGTTAGTCTGCTTACCTTATCTCTAAAAGTACTATATATGGGAGAAAATAATTCTTTCGCTCAATTGTTAGCCGGCTTATTTTATACTTAAAAGAATTATATATTAGAGAGATAATTATTCTGTTCAATTGTTAGCAAGTTTAATTATCTTCTCATACCTAAAAGAACTACATATGAGAGAAAATTATCCCGCTCAATTGTTAGCCGACTTGTCTTATACCTAAAAGCATTGTATATGATAGAGAAAATTGTTAGACGGCTTATGGCTTAGTCTTTGTTATATCTAAAAACTTATATCTAAAAGCACTATATATATATATATATACATATATATATATGATAGAAAAAATTATTCGCTCAATTGTTAGATGATTTATCTTACCTTATACTAAAAAACATTAAATATGAGAAAGAAATTTCTCCTGGTCAATTGTTAGCAAGCTCATCTTTTTAGCTTCTTATACCCAATACAAATGAAAGAGAAAATTATCCCGCTCAATTCTTGTTGCGGGCTTATCTTATCATATTTTATCTTATCTTATCTTATATACTTATAAGAACAACATATTAGATAGAAAGTTATCTTCTAATTTTCTAATACCCAAAAGCACTACATATGAAAGAGAAAATTCTCCCGCTCAATTATTACATCTTCCAAAAATGTGTAATGATTCACCCAATAACAATTTTACTTCCTCGTGTTCCACATCTTCATTATTTAATTACATAATTCCTTTTTCATTTACTTTCTACCGTTAGATTGTTATCGTTTTGAGTATTTTTTTTCATACCCAGTATATCTTTTCAACAGCAAGAGCATAAGCTCTTGCTGTAATGGTCTAACTTATTATTATGAAGAGTGTGGGCTTTTGATTGGCAAGTTTATTTTCATTTTCAAAATTCAGTTTGATTTGACTACTTATTCTAGTTGGTAATCTAATATAGTGCTTCTTTCATGGTCAATTATATAGTAAGAGATGTACATTTTTTGTTCAAATATTCTTTGAGTTGCTAGATTAGGAATCATCTGAAACACGTTCGTAAATCTGTCTCGTTCGTATGCACATAATTGGAAGCTCATAGTAATAACCAAATTCAAGAAATAATTTTGAGTCACTAACATATTATAAAGATATTATTTCTACATGTTGAACTAATAAATTGAACTAAATTTAGAAGCTTTACTTTTTTAGCACGCAATGTGATTATCATTTTCTTTTACTCATTTTTTATTCTCGAGTGACATTATAATATGAAGGAATAAGGCTTGTAATGATCTAACGAAGGGAGTAGAATAAAAAAAGAAAATAACATTAGATTTTTATTAATCGTAGCGTTGATGAATTCAAATTACTCACCGTCTTCACTTTAGACCAACTCAAAAAAGAACTAAATAGACCAACTCGAAGTTTTATTTTATTAGAACTAATTAGGTTTTTATTTGCTAATTTTTTATATATCAAACCAGTGCACTTTATATCATAAAATACTTTAAGAAAGTTTTCTCAAATAAATTTATTATTTTTAGATTTTCCTCTATCAAGGACTGATTTTAATTTTAGAGATTGTTTAGTAACAGTGAGATTGGTTGAATCTGTTCAACGGATGAAGTTCTAAGAGACGTGGTTGAATTATTTGAATCTATTGATTTATGGTTAAATTTAATTTAAAATATATTTTATTAATAAAATAATAAAGAAAAGAATTATATGAAAAGTAGCTTAAACTGATCACCTATAGTAACTTCAACAAATTTAGAGAGAAAAATTACTTCAATCAAGCTAAACATAAATAGATCAGATCAGTTTAAAAAACCAAAAATGTTTAATCGATTTTTTCATATTTGTCCCTTCTCTTAAAAAGAACGAATGTCGTACTATTAAAACTTCTATTTTGCTAATTTTAGAAGTTTTACTACTGGAAGCTCATAGTAATAACCAAATTCAAGAAATAATTTTGAGTCACTAACATATTATAAAGATATTATTTCAACATGTTGAACTAATAAATTGAACTAAATTTAGAAGTTCTACTTTTTAGCATGCAATGTGATTATCATTTTCTTTTACTCATTTTTTATTCTCGAGTGACATTATAATATGAAGGAATAAGGCTTGTAATGGTCTAACGAAGGGAGTAAAATAAAAAGAAAGAAAATAACATTAGATTTTTATTAATCATAGCGTTGATGAATTCAAATTACTCACCGTCTTCACTTTAGACCAACTCAAAAAAAGAACTAAATAGACCAACTCGAAGTTTTTATTTATTAGAACTAATTAGGTTTTTATTTGCTAATTTTTTATATATCAAACCAGTGCACTTTAAATCATAAAATACTTTAAGAAAGTTTTCTCAAATAAATTTATTATTTTTAGATTTTCCTCTATCAAGGCCTGATTTTAACTTTAGAGATTGTTTAGTAGCAGTGAAATTGGTTGAATCTGTTCAATGGATGAAGTTCTAAGAGAAGTGGTTGAATTAGTTGAATCTATTGATTTATGGTAAAATGTAATTTGGTTGACATTATAATAAGAAAGGAATAAGGGTTATAACACTTTACTAATGGGAGTATAACGTTATATTTTTATTAAAAGTAAGACTATATTAAAGACCGGAGTTTGTTGAGATAGATGACGTATATTAGTAGGCCAAATTTTTATATTTTGTATCTCTGTAATTCGTTATTTTTGTTAAGCAAATAACAAAAATGCAAAAGATGAAGCCATATGGCATAAGTAAACAATGCTCTATAACACTGGTAGGTAGACAGGTTACATAATAATTCGGTGTAAACCATATTTTTAATAGCCTACTCTTTTCGTATATATAAATATATATAATTTTATTTTATACATAATTATAGAGACCGTCAGTAAATTATATTTTTATATATTCAATATTGATCTCAAATGAAAGATCACAAAAAATTATGAATTTTGAAATAGTTTTTGTAAAAATTGGAGCAAAAATAAAAAAGTTATAACACTTTAAAGAAAATTGAGGTTTTTTATTGTTTGGGCCCCACCAAATATATCTCCTTGCGCCACCCTTCCTTTTCCTTTGGTGTTGTTCCGTACTTTTGGAGTTAAAAAGACCACGTGTCATTTTTATAAAAAATGAGTGAATTGAGGAGAGTTTGACACATAGGATCTATTAGGGGTAAAACTGTATTTTTATGAGATATTTCTTTTCTTATATATAAATAGACTATTACCTTCCCCAAGATTTGCACCTGCTCCCTATTCTTTCTCCACGTTTAACTAATTGCACTTATCCGCTAGCTTCCTTTACTTAGTGGAGTTGGGCAGTACACGTTTGTTTTCTCTGTTGCTGGACTACCCATTTTTGCTGCCACTGGGCCTTGCTATGAAATAACATATCAAACAGAACTTCCAGCCTAGCTGGTTGTGAGGTTACCTCTGCATAGGAGAGGTCTCGTGTTCAAGTCTCACTAGCACCAGTGGTACTATGCTCCCCCCAAAAACCCTTTAAGTGGTAGGGCCAAGCAGTATATACTAACCCGTAGGGCCAAGCCAAAGTTGAGTTTCTGGGGTAAGGGGCCGTGAAAGCGGTGGAGCTAGTCACTATAAAAAATTTACTCATATCTTAGTTTTTTTAACCAGAACTTCCAGCCTAGCTGGTTGTGAGGATACCATAGGAGAGGTCTCGTGTTCGAGTCCCACTAGCACCAGTGGTATTGTGCTCCCCCAAAAAACCCTTCAAGTGGTAGGGCCAAGCGGTGTATACGAACCCGTAGGGCCAAACCAAAGTTGGGTTTCTGGGGTAAGGGGCCGTGAAAGAGGTGGAGCTAGTCACTATAAAAAGTTTACCCATACCTTAGTTTTTACCTGCACAAGTAGCTCAGTTGGTCGAGTGGTGGGAAAATTAGACCAAGTGACCAAGGTTCGAAACCCACAACTGGACCTCTGGTGCGGACGTGTATAAGGCCTAACGCCGCTTTGTTGACTGAGTCACCGTGATTAACCTTCCCACCATCCTGTCGGGTCGGGGTGGGAGGGGGCTCCTGGGGTGGGAGATTCCACCTTTTGGACGAAATGAAATGACATATTGGCTCATTTATTTGGTTAAAGTCTGAGGCCCAACATTTGCCCCCATTCATGATGAAGGTGAGACGGACTCTTAGTATAAAAACCGTCATTATGAATATATGCACTATCTCGTCACTCAACCGCCTTCTCTCTGATCGAGAAACTGTGCGCTCTTTAGTTCCTCGTGATACCCATTCACACGCTTCATCATCCTTTCCATTTGAATTTACTCCTCCGAAACAGTCTGTTGTCTTTTCCATGGCCTCCGTCGTGTTTACCAGCCAAGGCCTCTTGGAGGCCAAAAATGCAAGGGCCTGTGAACTCCTGGAACAAGAGAAAGAAGAAATTGAAAGCTCCTATGATTTTTCTTCCCCCATAGTAGTTCGCTTCCCATTCGCCCCTAACGAGCGGATTGGTCGTGTCAAGGGTGGGTAAGCTTTTATCAGCACCCTTTCAAGAAATTAGGTTTGTGGTTCCCCTTTTCAGACTTTATATCAAGATTCTTGGCTATCGCTCTGGTCTCTCCCGCTCAAATCATGCCTCCAACCTGGCGTCTTATCCGCTCATTGGAGGTGCTAATAGAGAAGAATGGCTCAAAATTTTCTGCTGATGATTTGGGTTTCACATATGATTTACGTACCTCTGGGAAAGGAATATTCATGGTGATAGTGAAGCCTGGTAGGGAGCCATTAGTTCTCGGTATTAGTAATGCGAACGACCGTGGATGGATGACAAAATTCTTCTTCGTGGAGAAGTCTTCCTTGGGCGAACACGAAGATTTTCTGGTGGATAAGTGGCGAACCGCAGGTATAGATTGCTTATACTACTCATCCCGACATACATGTAATTATGGTTTCTCATGTTCTCTATCTTTATTCCTTAGGTGAGCAGAAAACAATTTCTTTGGCCTATGGCCCTCAAGCGGAAGAAAGGACAGCTCAGCTCTTGGACCTCGGCACTGAACCTCGTTTGAACCTTCCGCTACTAGTTCTGCTCGTGTTGATTTACGTCGTTCTGGTAGGAATGTAGCTAAGTCGTCTCGCTTGTCCAAAGATGGAAATTTTGTTTCTATTGGAGGTTCTGATAGGGATGAAGATGTTCTTAGTATTGATGATGAGACCAGTGTCCAAGTTGTTCTTGATGTCCCCCCTTTAGATTCTCACGGCCCATCTGCCATCGATTGTTCAACCCAGATTATTGGTATGGCTTCATTCTTTCTTGGGCTTTACTTCTGTTTGTGTGTGTGTGTATATATGAGGCTACATAAAAAGGGTCGGATAGGCTACATATATGCGCACTTAAAAGCGCAGTTATCTTCAAGTATTCATTTGAATGCCTTTACTATTAAATTCTTACCTGAAATTTGGTATGCGTAAACTAGACTTAATGAATAAAATGCTCAAAAACTTTCATCAACAAATTCCAACAGGAAGTGACCCAAATGGCGACGACCGGACATAGTCTCCTATATAAGGGCTTATTTGACATTTTTATGTAAGTTCGAGGGCCTATTTGACCCTTTTCACTAATTGAAAATATGTGAGTTTACATTAGGGTCCGTAATTGAAAATCCGTTTACATAGAGAGCTTATGCAGCAATTGTCTTCGTATTTAATAGCTTAATATCTATTAAGCAACATGCTTAATACTTTGTATTTTGTCAACTCTTCTATTATAGAGAGTATCCTTTCCATTATTTCACATGGTATCAACAGCTCTAGGTTTTTAGATACAATTATTTTTGTTTCCCGATTCCCATGAACCCTAGTATAGCCACCACCACCTTAGGGTCTACTGCTGCCACATCTACGTCAGTCTCCGATCCTTTGAGGATGAGCGCGGATGATACGGCGCATATCGCCTTCTCCGCGTCGCTAATCATGGTGCTTGCTTCTAACGTGCCGTTGAGTTCACCGCATGCTATTTTCTGCGTCCACACAGTCCACCTTCTCCGCGTCGCTGACCACGGTGCTTGCTTCCAACGTCCCGTTGAGTTTGCCACCCGCTGCTGCATACATCAATTCTCTAGCCGATTCCAATTCAAGCGCTCGCACAGATGTTCCAGAGCGCTATGCCGGTCCTACTCTCTCTGGTGACCCTGGCATGATCCCATCATCTTCTGCCGAGCCAGTTGGCCGTTGACCGTGATCCTCTCTGCTGCCCAATTCGTTCATTGCTCTTGCTTAAGGTATCTTCAGGGGTCTCCATATTATGGACACTACTGGCAGCCTACTATGGCATACATCGGACATCCGGCTGCAAATCTATATCAGAGTTTGTTGTATTTCCTGGTCCTAATCTAGTTTCATGGAAGTCCAAGAAACAACCAACTTTCTCGTGGAGATCTTATTGTCAAATATGTGTCTCATAGTCTTCAGCTGGCGGATATATTACTAAAAGTCTTTTTAGTAAGCAATTTCATTTTTTAAAGACAACTTGCGTGTTGTATCTCCCGCACAGTTTGAGGGGATCTAATAGCCTAACATCTATTTAGGAATATGCCTAATATCTATTTAGGAACACATTGTAGTTTGGCAACACTACTAAAAAACCTCGGTATAGGCACGGATTTTGGCTCAGATAACCCCTTAAAATTCCCAGACTATCGCTCTTGGCTCGGTTTTGGCTGGGAAAACAATTCCGTGCCACCTGGGTCGATCCAAACGTGTTGGCAAGGAATATAGGATCTGTGTCAACACTTGGCACGACCTTTGTCTAGAATTTCGTATCCCAAACTTAGCATCCAAATCCATCAAAATTTGGCACGGATATCCTTTGTCTCGGAATTTGCCTCGGATAGTAAGAACCCAACCAACCCAGTTTATATCGGTTCATGGATCGGATAAATCCGTGCCAAATAGTATTTCATGTATAAAAAAAATGTATATCGTACTTTTGTACGGTATACGTTTTTTATACATTTTTAATACGTTTTAATTTTTTATTTTTGACAAAAATGTAATGTTTTTGACCATACATAACAATTCACAATTCACATTTTCAAAACCACATACATCCACAATAATCACAATTCACAACTACAAGCATAACATAAACAAAATTAACATTAATAAGCAGTTAAGTTGAAAGAAAAAATTGTAAAACTGTAAGCAATCCAAGCAAATGACTAAAAAAGCCATCAGAAGCAGTTACAATAAAAAAATTGTTCAGAGTTTGGGAGTTCTATTAATAGCATTAAAAATATCATCCATGGGCATTTCATGAGAGTCGTTCAGAAGGCTGTTAATTCTGTGAGCGGTCGGTGTTCGGAAAGCTAAGAACTCAGGCAGCGGGACACTCGGGTTGACGCTCCGCACCTGCTCCAAATACGACATGAACATATTCGTCATGTTGGCCATCTGGGTTAGCCAAATCTGCTGCTGCTGGGCAAATCGGGTGTCAACTTGCTCCTGAATGCGGGCATCAATCTCTTCTTGGCTCAGTCCCGTGATTCAGCTTGTGCAATCCATGCTGCCCGACATCACCTCTACCTCGGAACCCATCCCAAACCGCCACCCCTTGTACTCCGGTATGGCCTTGCAAAACAACTCTGAATCATCAACGTCAAAGGACTTCCCCTCAGATTCTGCTTGGGCCTTCAGCTCATTGTACTTTTTCTGCAAAATATTACAAACAATTATATTTAGCAAGTGAAATAACAACTATTACAAATATTAATACTCATGTACATATATATAATTAATGTACCCTCGTTTCAACAACTCTTGGAGGAGGATCACCAGTCTTGGTCACATACACCTTCTCAAAAACCTCAATCTTTAAAGGCTTTCTCTTCATAGATTCAGTCTGTAATCACATCAAGAATCTTATGTTAATAAACTGTTAGTACAAATGAAATAACACAAAAATATAAACGTTTAGGAACTTTAATTACCATTCTTTGAACATGTGTGGTCACCGGAATCCGACCTCCACGATATTGCGAACCTCTTGCTGCCTCAGTGTTACGGGTTTTTTCCCTGCTTCACTCTTCTTCTTAAATTCTTCATAACCCCAATACTCCTTAAGAACACTCCAATGCTCCTTTGAAATCCACTCTGGCTTCTCATCCTTTCGTCTAGCTCTCCCAATATTTTTGCTCAACCACGATGAGGCACGGGATGCAAACCGCTTCTTTATTCTTTTGTGGACGTAGGGATCCCATTCATATTTGTTCTAAACAAAAATATAAAATAGTGTCACAAAACCTATACAAAAACATCAAACAAACTCCAATGTGATAACAAGGTTTTTAGCAACATATGAAGCTATACAAAACCTGAAACAGAGTCCACCAAACCCACGCTGGGCTTATCAGCGTGCTTGTAAGAATGCCAAGGGCCATGAAAGTTTGTCGTTAGAATACTAATGATAGTGTTCAGAACAGAAGGTTTGCTACATAACAATGATTAAATAATGTTGTTATTAAATAATACTTGTTTTAAAATTATGTAAACTTGATTAAGACTATTAATTACCTTCTCATTTCCAAGAAGGTTATCCATGTTTTTGTATGACATTGGGAAGGGATGTCATCATTCACTCGGGTGGGTGGTTAACTACCAGCTCTGGAGTGAACTGATTCAAGATCAATTTCGGTATTGGGAGAGTTATGGTTCACAATAGCTGTCCGACGGTCTGTGGTGCTTGCACCATGACTGCGACCACCATGCCCAGAACTAAAAGACTGAAGACTACTACCTCTACCAGATATCCTATTGAATTACATGACAGTACAAATTTCATACAAGGCAATAATATAATTTCATACAGTACAAATTTAATCCAGAATATTTTGTAGTGAACACATGCATATGCAATTTGTATACAGATAGAGTACAAAGAATATTCTGTAAAAAAGTGTGCAGTATTTATAAAATCCATACCGTGCACACATGCATATAGACTAAATAAAAATTACAGAATAACACCTAAAAAGTGTGAAATATACGGTATATTATGTAAAACATATACATCATACAGCATATTCTGTAAAATATATCAACTACCGAAATAAATTACACATCAAAAACATTCAGTAGTTTAAAAATATATAAACTACTGAAATAAATAACACATAAAAACATTAGGTAGTTTAAAAAAATACGTAAACTACCGAAATAAATAACACAAAAAAAATCTTTTAAATAATAATATAAACTACCGAACTAAATAACACATAAAAAAAATTTGCTTTAAATAAAATAGAAATTACCGAACTAAATACAAAAAACATTTTGTTTTAAATAAAATATAAACTACCGAACTAAATAAGAACTAAAAACTTTTTGTGGTAAAAAAATTCAAACTACCGAACTAAATAACACATAAAAAAATGACACATGACCTGGAATTAACTGGTACACGTGTGGTGGAGGAGGGTGTTGTAGAAGAACTGTCGTCGCCGTCGTTTAACTTTGCACAGACGAGGGTATACGTGTGGCGGAGGAGGGTGTAGTGTGGCAGTGGAGGGTGTAGTGCGGCGGAGGTGGGTGTAGTGTGGCGGAGGTGAATTAGGGTGTATAGGGGTGAAATGTGAAGTACGGATGGGGTAGTCGATGTTAGGTTTAAATATTTTCGGTTTTGGCACGAACTTGGGGTAACAAAAACTGAGTCAACAGGGTTTCCAGAGTACTCGAATGGTTTCTCGATGTTGGAACAAATATTTTTTGAACCAATATCCGTTTCAAGCTTTGAATCAAACGGCTGTTCAGTTTTCGCTGTTGTCACGACCCTTAGCGCCACCAACTTCCATGCCAACGTCTCGAAATTTAAATTCTTACCCGCCAATGGAATATTTGGCTCGACCTTGTCAGGGATATATCCGTGCCAAACTATTTGGCAATCCGAACGTCCTGACATGTCAGACGTTGATTGTTAGAGAGCATTTGCGACGCTTGGGGCACAGATTTATCCGTGCCAAATTTAAATAATTGGCGGCTCCGTCTAGAGGCACGATGTTATCCCAGACAAATCCGTTCCAAGTGTATAGAACTTATCTATAAATAGCTAATTTGAGCATTCCTGCCTAATATACATGAAAATAAAAAATGCTTAAAGTTGTAATGGAAAAATGTGAGAATTCAGCTGGAAAAAAACCAGATATGATAAAAACAGAGAGTTCAGGTGTGAAAAAACCCGAAAAATGGGATTTGTTGGGGCAACGAATTGATTATTTGAGAGAAACGTTGCAGTATATGGCGCCTGTTAATGATGCACCTAAAGAAAAAATAAATAAACTACTGGAAAAATGCAGTGCTGCAGAAGTGC